TAAAGTTAGTGCTTTAGAATTAGGGGACCTAAATATTAAAGTTAGTCCTTTAGAATTAGGGGACCTAAATATTAAAGTTAGTCCTTTAGAATTAGGGGACCTAAATATTAACGTTAGTGCTTTAGAGTTAGTGCAACTAATTTTAGTGCTGCCCACCACTGTAGATAGTAAGTCATAATTGTTAGTATCAGAGTTATGACTTGTTTTTCTTTTGTCGTAGTGATAAAAATGCTTCCATATTCCACATCAGAACAGATTTTATTTTTGGAAAATGTGGTTATTATTCTTTTTCTATAAAGTGAAACTACAAAGACAAATGCACATACGCTCTAATATTTGACTCTTTACACAGGACACCACCCTTTAAACTGGAATGTCTATCTTGCCCTGTGACCCAGCAAACTGCATGCTTATGTTTCAACACAAAACACTTTTCTTTAAAGTTACTTTTTAAAACATACTTTGTATATTGAATGTTTAAATCTGTATGGTATAATAAAAAATATCAGAGTGAGCCTTCAGAGGGTGCACCATCCCTGCAGAAACATTTACTCCAGTCAGACTTCAGGTTTAAATAGTTTGTACCATTTTGTTCTGATTATTCCTGAAACAATGTTCAGCACATAGTATAGAAGTCAATTTATGCAATTAAAACAAAAATAAATGTATTGATATAATTACGAAACTATATGTTTGAGTTTGAAACTTTGACAATTGTCACAGAAATAGGTTGTCTATTTCAGGCTGTCAGAACGTTTCTGTGGGATTTTAATCCTTCATGTAAAGAATARCAGAATACCAAATATATATTAGATATAAATGTTGCATATTTTAAACAATATCAATAGATTATCTGCCCAACTTTGGTTGATTTTAAACAGATATAAAGTTTTTCCCAGATATTCAAGAGTCCTGGATTATGTATCAGATTAACAGAATTTAATATCCAATTATTGAACTTATGCAACACTAATAAAACTGCTTTTATCCATCTTTGCATGTATTTATACATGCACGCTCTTTGCCGTTCATGTGGTGCAGCACCTACACCTCCTACTTCTCATGGCCTTAACTGTCCCCACTAATCTTTTACTGAAAAGGATCAGTTCAGACGTGCAGAATCACCATTTCTGTGGGGTTTTTTCCTCATCAGTGAAGAACAAAAACAAAAGCTTTAAGATAAAGTTTTTATTTAAATTAGCATACAAAGAGAAAAATATCTAAACTAAAAATCATATGTAGTAAGCTACAGTCAACTTTAAAAAATACTGCTTCATGCATATAGTTTGTGAAGCTTAAACAGAAAATATCCAAATAATAAACAATGTAACAATAAATGCACAGAGTGCATTTCCCAATGTGGCTCCGTGGTCTGTTCACTTTCCACAGTGATACAAGTAAAGCAGCACTTCACGTCATGTATGTTCAATGGCAGGTGTAGTTAGTGTGTGACAGGTTGTTGAATAGAAATACACCAGGACAAAATAAAGCACGTGGCTGAATAATGATTCACTTAAGGAASTGGACTCAAACCGGAGTTTGCTGGCTGCTACATGTAACCTTTAAGCAACTGGTTCTTTCCACTATATAAAGCAGCTTTTCAGTACCTAACATGGAGTATAAAAAAAGAGTCTCACAACATTTACACAATATAAAATATGAAATGTGACATGAAAGTGTCATATGAAATGAAAAAGACCGATAGGAGTGTTGATATCTGCTTCACAAGGACAATAAGGAGTTTGGAAACGGTGCCACACTTTTGGTGCTGCAGAGCAGCAGCTGAGAGGCTGCTCAGAAACTGAACTGGTTTATGCAGCTTCAGGCACAGGATAAGAAAGAAGAAAGCTGGTTTCATTCCATAGATAACAGTGGAGCAGTAGTGAGTATGAGGATGTGGCAGACACTGGGGAATCTATTCCTGGGCCTCTTTGCCAGTCATTTTGTAGAGCTCAGTAGGACCATCCACATGGGTGATGGTGGTGGTCAGCTGAATATCCTCTCCACTGTTCGCTGCAGCATCACCTGCACAGACAACACAGATCAATGACCAAAACTGTATGCAACAAGACTAATCACTGATATTAACAGTGAGTTCCTAGACCAGGACTGGGCTTTAACTGACAACAATCAATCCTGGTCTAAAACTAAAACCAGGGTTCCCACACCTTGGTCAACATCAAATTCAAGAGCCTTTCAAYGACTTTCCAGTAGCAATTTCCTCAAATTAAAGAACCACGCACAATGGCAGTTACCTACTGCAGAATGTTACAAATAAACATGTTTAATATCATGTAAATTCAATGAAAACTGAACAACATAGAAGTTGAGTCAGAATCAATGCCGTCAGTTTACGTAATCCTGAGTTATCCACCACAACAAATGTAAGTTTATTTTTTTATTTTATCATTTATTTTTTTAAAAGATGATGAAAATCAGTTGTGTGAATAGAAAATTTCAATCCCCAAAAAACATTCAAGAACTTTCAAGGACAAGTGTAATTTTTGGCTGTTTTCACAAACTTTTCAGGGCCGTGAATTTTTTTTTCAAATTCACAAACTTTCAAGGATTTCAAGGACCTGTGGGAACCCTGTAAAAGGCTTTCTGAAGTGCAGACCAATTTGTGACTACTAACACCTGGATTATGGAGTCTTATAAACAAAAAAATATATAATATTACCACTTTAAAACCTGTTAACATTCAGCAGAATGCCTGCGTGCTGTTTTAGTTTAGTTTTATTTTGAAAGGCCGTTCTGTGTTTCTCTTCAACCTGTGTCTGTGTTCGATGCATCAAATCAAGTTTCGACGGTCCAGGGCCAATAAAATATCAGAAGTAACCAACTTCCAGTTTTCATCATCCTGGCTTTGACTGAAAATCGGCCAATAAGCTCTGAGCTTTGTTCTGATGCCATAGCTGTGTAGCCAATCACAATAATCTAATCAATAATTATCGACACATTGAAATTAAGCTCCAGGTGGACCTTAAAAAATGTTTAAAAACATATATGAATTATGGAAGTCTATGAAAAGCAACAGCAGCAACAAATAATCCTTAAAGATTACTAGAACATATCTGCTGGTGTATTATAGAAAAYCACTGCACAGAAAAGTATTTGTAACGAAAGCAGCATTTCTGAGGGAATGCATATCACCCACCACCGTGCACGCCAAAGTTTTAAACAAAGATACTGTTTGAGTTTTTTAGCACTCAGAGCTACCACATCTCTAAAACTTGCTAAGTTAGAACTACTTCTGTGTTGGCAGCCATCTTTAATTAGGTTGAGACCAAAAGTTAGTCAGTTGCAGATGTAAATGTTRAATGATTAGTTTCATTCAAAAGCCTGTAGTGTGGTTCATCTCATGAACCACTGCACATACAGACAGAAGCAATTACATGATCTCGCTCCTTTCCTGAGACTGGGGCCCCATGTTTCAAAGAGTGTGCAGCGTATGAACCAAAGTGGAAAAGTTCGTGCACAGAAACATTCAGATGTATCTAACCGTGTGAGCCCTTCATACATCCCAACAAAGGTGGAACTGAGCGCACGTGAGACACAAACATTTCATTATGTGAAACAGATGCAAGAATATCCAGCACGTGTGATTCTTCTCTCTGTGCWATCAGAAATTATTTATAGATGCAAGAATAACAGACTGATATTCGGTTGATGTGATCCCAAAAACAAGCTGCCTCCAAATTCTTCTTGTGGTGATGTCATCCAGCAGCACAACAGATGACATTGTTCCATTATCGTTTTTAGACACGTTCTGTTTTCTTGTCCGAGGTTAAACATGGCTCAGTTTTATTGTCTGGGTTTAAATCATAAAAGTTCACAACAGCGTGTTCAGAAGCTCCTCACATCCAGAAAACAAAAWGCAGTCWTATTTCTGTGGATTCAGGTCCGATTCAGGACTTTGTGGTTACAACCTTTGATGTGTACACACAGTTGATACATGAAGTCTCAGTTGATGACTTCAGCCCAAACTAGAAGCACTCAGAGAGTGCAAACCTCCGCCGAGGCCYATTTCCTKCATCCTGTAAGAGTTAATGCACAAAAGCAGAGATGGAAACACATTAGCCGAATAAGTTCTGAAGTAGTGAACATTTAAGCAGCAGTATGCACGGGATTTCTTCTGGTGGAGTCCAATGTGAAAAATGTCAGACTGGTCACCCGACGTTATTCATCCACAAAGTGGTCCCGGATTAAACTCCTAAGTTTTCATCAGTCAGATTCCACCATGTAAAACGTCTGTTTTACCCCATTGTATGAGTTTTTAACAGTTTGACTCTCTTTATAAACTGCTGCTTCCTGGTACAGTCGACTCTGGAAGCGAGTCGCCTTTTTTCTTTTCTTTTTTTAAGCGAGTGGTTGAAGCACCATACTTTCAGCACAAACACTCCCACGAACTTCTGACCAATCAAACAAAGTTCTTATGTGGAGGGGGTACCTCACATGGTTGATCAGCTGTTCCTGCTGTTCGGTACCGGTCAGCTCAGCTGCAGCTGGACRCTCCGCCCCGCTATCAGCGTCTTCTCAGTTATTCCCGTAACATGAAGAGAATCACATTTCTTTTTCTACGTCTCCAGACAGCAGTAACATTGCGAGAACTAGTTGATAACAGAATTATCACAACTTTCCTGATATTTCCTGATCCTGGGATGTGTAGTCCCAGCGAGTTTACGACTTCTACTTCCTGTTTCCTACAGGCATGTGTCTGACGTAATGACARTTAGCCTGGCTGATTCYCTCGAATTAAAAGAAAAATTCCTGTATCRGCAWCATGATCCGGAACATCACCAATATTTAATGGTMTGTTCCTTTGGCCAATACCCACATGTGGTAAAAATGTCATGACAATCCATCCACAGGTTTTTGAGTACCGTATTTTTCGGATTATAAGCCGCGACTTTTTTCCTGAACTTTGAACCATGTGGCTTATAGTCCGGTGCGGCTTATACATGGATTTTTTTCTTCAGCCACCAGGGGGCTCTTTAGTCGGAAGTGTGGTTGCCGCGAATAAAAGGAAGAAGACGAAAGCGCCATTTTGTTTTAGCTAGTAGCAGACACGACACGACGAATTTATCTTCGACAGACACGACGAAATATTTCTCTTCAAATTCAAACGCGCTCATCATGGAAAAGAATAGAAGATCTTCCTATGAGGCCACTTTTAAGTTGAAAGCTATCGAAATTGTGCAACAGGAGGGAAATAGAGCCACTGCACATAAGCTCGGCCCGGGTTCCGAAAGGCTGGGCTGCTATGTGAAGAGGACACCACAGCTTCAGAGCCAGAATTACCCCGGGATGAAAGCTACACAGAAAGCAACGCTGAATAGACCGCTATGTGACGAAGCTTTTCTCAGCTTGTTTAACTCCGACACTGAAGAGGAGGACTTCGATGGTCTCAGTGCGCCGGAGGACGATGAATGAGACGTTTTATTGGAGCAGAAACTGTTAAAGAAAACTACCAAAATAAGATCAGTTAAATGAACCGTATTCCTCCGAACTTTAATTCCTAAAGGTTTCTTTTTATGTTTTGATGTTGAATTCACTTTTTTGACGATAATTTTGGGTGTACTGTTTTTTTTTATGTTGGGGGTGCGGCTTATAGTCCAAAAAATACAGTAATTTTGTCCACAGACAGACAGACAGATGCGATTGAAAACATTACCTCCTCCCTTGGTGGAGGTAACTACAGACTGTATGTTCTGCAGAGGTTCAGTGTGAGTTCAAGTAAAAACCAGCAAAACAGAAGCTAATAGCAGCTAAAGTGAAATAATTTAGCTTAGCTACATTAAACTAAATTGTTTGTAAAAGCTAAACATACTGTACCTGTTTGCTAAAAGCTGAAATGAACAAAACTAGAGCTAAAAGCTAAAATCAGTAAGARAGTAGCTAAAGGCTAAATGTAGCATTTGAGGACAAGATGCTACATTGGAAGCCATCTTTTAATTKTTTTTCATTAATTTTTTTTCTTTCTGCTCTCGGAGGAGTAAGACACTTCTTCCTTCTCTCCTGCCCTTCTTTATCTTTCCCTGCTTTGCTGCTTGGAGCCTTCTTTTGATTTTTCATCCAAACCATTTTTATTTTATGGATTTGGTTAGCTGGTCTCTCAATAAAACTTTTGGAACAAAGTGTATTTTTCTTCTTCCATGGGAGGACATGTCGAGGGTGGGTCCTCTGTTCTTCTCTGTTGTGGATTTATGTCTGGATTCCGATCACTGGATTCTACAGATTGGCTTGGTGGTCTCCTGGTGTTCTACAAAACAGCGTCGGTGGCTTTGCACTTTCTGGCTGACTGACCAACTGGATGGACGGCTGTATTCTATCAGCACTCGGACATTTTGCCTTGAGCGAACTGGACTCGTTCTGCAAGTGGTTCTACTGAGGGTCACGGGCCGGCTGTGGTCCCTGGACTTTGCTGGCCAGATGGAATTCATCTTGGAGAAGCTGAGAGCTCAGCTCGGCAGAATTTGTCCACACTATTTGCCTGATTGGATTCACCACCTTGAGTTGTACCAGCAGACGTTAAAACAGATGGAAAATTGTTATCGTCTGCCTGACTCTTTTGTTCCCAAAACAACTGATTACAGAATCTGGATCTCCCCGACAACGGCCTTGATCTGTTGACTAAATCCTTCCTGGCTGAAACTGCCGACACGGCTCTCCCCCCTCCCTCCTCCCCCCCCCGTCTGATCTGTTTCCTGAGCAAGCAGAGGGCCCACAGAATGAACAYTTTACCATCAATATTCCGAACTTTGGCTGCGCTGGCTTTGGGGACTAGATTCTTTGGGCCCCCGATCTCAATTACTCCTCTGGCTAATAAATCTGCCCTATGCAGAGGTTTTTTTTCCATAAACACCATAGTGTGTCACAGTGTTGATATAATATGTTTTTGTTTTTTTCCTCATCTTCCCTTGTGTGGTTTTCTGTTTCAAGGATGGCGCCACGGCAGGCAGCCTGTTACTGTAGCTCCACTGTTTTGAGCTGCTGTAATGTTCAAATTTCCCCACTGTGGGATCAATAAAGTTCTATCTTACAGTATCTTATCTTAACTTGATTTTAGCTGACTCCAAATGTTGATCTATAGGTTTATATCCAGTTTACTTTTTGAATGTTTCATTAAATTCCATCCAATGGTACACAAGATATTTTACTAACAGACATGGTTGCCAGTAGTCTTGATCATGTTTAAAGGATAGCACTGTGAGGATGTATGGAGGGTGACTCTCAGCCACTACGARACGTTTTATTGGCTGACGTATTTTCCTTAATTAGGTTGACTCCAGTAATCARGTGCAGAAGCATTTTTGAAAGTTTCCTTAAATGCTATCCAGATGTTCATGAGACATTTTGTTAATAGTTTGACAAACTAGGTGTGGGCAGACTTGTTCTGCAGCTCTCCTCTACAGAACCAAAACACACTGAAGTAAAATATCTCCATAAAATCTGAACGTTACTGATACAAAACAGAGTAGTCAGCATGTGGTGTGCAGGGAGCCTAAACACATCTTCTGTTAGGAAATCAGCTTCATTTTAAAACTGGATCAAGTCTTAGAATAAGTTCCATCTTGGCTAAGAATGTAGATTGATTTAATCTGTGCCTTTAAATCTAGAGCCAGCTCTAATCTCTTGTTTGGGAACTGTCCCTCKGGGCTTTCAGGCTGCTGCTCCTGTGTGAGCCACTGCTGGCAGCAGTCTGTTGCTTCATCACATTTTAATTAGCACAGAAACTTCCAGCTCGCTGCAACAGGAGTGGGATGTAGGAAGCAGTGCTCCTCCCATGAGACCAGGCTGTGAACGCTGATAGAACTTCAGACGTTTCTCTCTCGGGAGAGTCGTTTTCTCTTCGCACTTCTCTCTCCCTGGAAGAAAGCCCGGTGTCCATTAGAAGCAGCGTGTTGGGCCAACGAGACGTTCTCTCCCCTGAGGACCTGGATCTGTCAGCGCCGCCCACCCTCCTCTGCCCCACTTTACTTTGGAGCAGGAGACGGTCTCTGTGAAAACAAGCTGGGAGCTCAGAAAGATTTCAACCAAAGTTTTAAACTTTTACTTTCACACAGTGAGGGTGAAGGTTGAAATTCTTTCTTTTAATTCTTTTAATTCTTTCTATTTTTTTTTGCTTGTTTTTGTGTAACTATTTGTGTGTTTGCAATTTTTGTCTAGCAGGTCTCTCTTGGAAATGAGATTCTGGATCTCAATGAGACTACCTGTTTTAATAAAGGTCAAATGAAAAAAAACACTACCATGAATTTCAGGGTTTTCCCTACATGTAAATTGATCATGGCGCTCTGCCACGGCAAAATAAAAGCTGCCACACCTTCAGAATGTTTTTTTAAAATCGATATAAAACAGGTGTTGACACAATCATTGTTTAGTTTGTCTGAGACAACCTATTTTTGTTTCAGACAACTAGATCCCGCCTCTTATTGTCCAATGGACAACCAAGAAAAAAGGCCTCCAATCAGAACAGAGCAGGGCGGGTCCTGCCGTCTGACTGACAGCGCTCTTTTTTCCTTTCTCTGTGGGCGGGGGGTCAGTTTCCCCCAGCTCAGGTGAACACCTCCAGGGAAAGCCCTCAGTGTTTCCTGGACTATTTTCCACTGAGGATTATGTCGTATTTTATATGTATTATATTTCTAAAAGCACCTCACAGTATTTCTCCTGTAACACTGTGTGTGTTCACGTCACGAGTGCAACAAAACCGCGACAGATCAGCTAACTGGTTTTAAAGCGAGGGGCAGCAGCTGCAGCAGCTGCACCTGTCCACCTGAAGCACAGCTCCGACCAGCCTGGGACTGAAGAGTCCACATGTCAACCCCTTCAGACGTTGACCTGTATAATGAGCATCAACAATCAGTAATTTATGCAAAAAAATCAGTATTAATCACACACGAGTGGGGTGGAGGTGCAAGCAGACCGCAGCTCCGCAGGGTGGGGAG